GAATGCTTCATTCTCGCTGATATAGTGCCAGTCATCTAGGCAAAAATAGCTTGAAATACCTAACAATTATAACTATCACCTTTACAACATACTGTTTATCATAACCATGTCATCGCAAAGCTTATGCTGTCTAGGTTCGACAATAAGTTGTTTGCAGAAAATGGTAGAGTTTGGAAATGTAAATAAATTACTCTATTTTAGATATTATATGTCGTTGACCGTATCTTTGAGAAACAGCTGAGATGCAAGGAGGGTAATGAGGTTGGTCTCACATTCAGTCACTTAGTTCTGTTACCACTCAAGCTGCTGTAAATCATTTCGCATGCTCTGATTTAGGTGATGTCTCTTAAATTATGGATCATCCTTTTCGTTCTGCGTGACATCTATAAATACGTAGCAGATCTCGTAGCGAATGGTAGAAATGCCCATGATGCTTGTCTTATTTATGTAAAACATCTGCTGACATGGGAACCTGGAGAGCAAGTGAGGTAAGCGATCAAGGATTACATATCTTATTCATCAGTCATCTTTGAGACAACTTGGAAGAATTGTTAACGGTGAATTAGCAGTGATGTAGCTAGTGTCCAGAACAGTGATTGAATGTTGGCTACATAGTGTTTTTGTCAGCCCATGATAAGTCAAAAATTGTGATCGGTTTCTCTCAGCTTTAGGCTTTAGTTCTCCTATTTTCTTAGATAATAAAATCATTAAAGGAAGAACCTTGATCTCCTTCTTCGAAATGCCATGAAAGCTTTTCCGTACCATCATTCGCTGTTATATGAGACGCTAGTCAAGGTACGAATTATGGTCCTTTCCATCATTTTTTTGAAGTTTGTCGCTTTTAGGCCATGTCCAATACACCTTTCGGGCAAAGACCAACAGCCTTCGAATATATTGTACAGGGACTGTTTGGGCAACGGCTTTTGATGGCCAGCAAATTTTGTGCCACATGTGGATCGTGCACTGCTAAGAAGCGGTGCCCTAAATGCAAAGTATGAGTGATTTCGGTACCACCCCATCATTGATCTCTAATTTCAGCTGTGCTATTGTTCTGTCGACTGCCAGAAACTCGATTGGCCCATTCATAAATTGTGTTGCAATTCAATACGGGAGTGGAATACTGCTACCGATGTTAGGGATACTATATCATTAGAAGATGTTCAAGCCGCGATCTCAGAGATAGACCACTAAGTAGATGCTTCGGACGCATATTCGATCTTCTACATATCATCCGCTAGTGTTCTTTTTCCTGCGTTTCACATCGTTTCGCGTTTATTTTTTTTTTTTTGCTAGAAAATAGTGATTTGTAGCATTTGAAGCATAATGCAATGAGTTCAACTTATTGTGCTAGTCTCTCACGTTGTGATTGTTTTGATAGTCACATATCGAAGAATTCTCTATTTGCTCAAGGAGTTGTCTTCCATACTTCTTTTTCAGCTTGTGATGTTGTTCGGCTTTATAGCAAAACAGAAGAACTTGTTGAGTTATTGTACATAATTTGCTTGCCAATTTGTAAACTAATAAATTCTCATGCTGATTAGTGTTTCAGTTAATTGGGGTGGTACCCTTTTGTTCCAAAATTCATTTGCTTTGCAAAGAAACTCATCCGCTCCTCGTGGTAAGCAAAAACTAATTTCAGCAATGTTTCTGGAGAAAATTAACCACATTACGGGTGAACGGGAGTGGGAAGTGGCGGAAGAAAATCATGATTTGGCACAGGAAATAGCAGCGTAAATTTTTCTTGTTTCGAACAATTTCCGGTAAGATTTGTATGTCAGAAGGAGCTTGAGTGTATAGCCAGGGCTCAGCGTAGCTGACCGGGTCAAGCTGAATATGTTTTTGGGGCGGAAAGCAAGGCGAATATCGTTTTTCCGTGGTCTGGGTGAGCCCCGGGAGAAAGTTGCAGATTTCTCGAGCGCTAAGCAGATCTAGAAATTTTCAGATGGTTATAAAACATCGGAAAGAAAACATTATGAGATTTATGTGATCATGTAAACTTTTTAGGTGTAGACACAATGTATGTAAAAAAGTATGAAAACTTATGTGGGCAAAGGGTCGGTGCCAGCTCAGCTGGCAC